AGCTAAAGATGAGTAATGTGCCCAACAAGGAACTATTGGATATGCAGCATACGGTAGTTTGTAGATTTGTTATACTTGCCGAGTATAAAATAAGTACTTGTCTTGTTCCGTTAAGATGTATAGGCTTTCAGCCACATTTGAAACTTGGATTTCGAAGAACTACTCCCGGAATCTTTGTAAGTTTTATTTCTTATGCAAAGGTTATGCAAAATAACTAAACTGCACAACATTTTATTTGTGTATGTTCAGTATCTGACCTTGGGTTATATGCAAGACCATGCCGATCAAAAAAACTGAGATGGGCTGACCTGCTGTGTGCCGGCTTACTCAGTGTGTGTCTGTCACACCGCAGTTTTAAGGTCTAGCCAGTCAAGCTTGCATTTGTAGTTTTGAAAAGCACATAGGAGCTGCAGACCATGTCAAAGCTTCTATTACCCCACTTAAAACTGAGGTGTTGTTAATAACCAGGGTGGTTTAATTATAAGTTTGGAAGAGCAGATGAAACACTATAATATCTAGAGAGCTTGATAAGACAGTAAGAGATCATGAGGCTCACTGGGAGAAAAGGAGGTTTGCACACAGGTCTGGTTTGTTTTAGTACGAGTTTGTGAGCTGCAGTGCAAAATGTTTTGTCTTGCATTCCTTCTAGGCCTTGACTCGAGTGAAGCTCAACTTCTTGGACCAAATTGCCAAGTTTTGGGAGTTGCAGGGGTCTATGCTCAGAATTCCCCATGTGGAGAGAAAGATTCTGGATCTCTATATGCTCAGTAAGGTACGTGATTAACTAACACTGAGTACTGTTAATTACGATGAGTAAACTTGTCTACTGTGAGGTTGCCAGCTAAGCTCTCATATAAGCAAATAAGCCATTTTAGACATGCAATACACTGCTTTTTTCCATTTGGAAATTGATGTGTTCAACAATGAATTAAATAAACCCAACAGAAAGCATGGCCTTATAACAATTGTATCAATAACATGTGTTATAGTATATAATAACTTTGTAGTGCATCACTTGTAATAACATGGTAAGATTTGCCTTGAAATTCTAGACAGAACTTCCAGATAGACTGTGGAACAGAAAGCCGAGCACCTTTCTCTGTTTAAATCAAATGCAGTCTCAAAGGTGAAGGTTGTCGAATCTGCCTTTTGCAGGGGGTTTCAAAAACTTAAAAAGATGTTTCGTTGTAAGATTGACTCCAAAGAGTTCTGCCGACAAAACAAAAAGAAAAATTCTGTGTTGACATCAGCCTTTAAATTGTATTTACATAATTTCAAGGAGAGAATCCAGCCTTTCTGACAAATTACACTGAAAGTTAAGAGATAAGGCCAGTTTTGAAACAAGCATAAGATGGCAGTAACATTTTCTAGAGATCTGAAAGAGGTCGGTTTTTATATTTATATATTAGGAAGGAACATGAAACTAGATAGTTTGAAGTTCAATTGTTTAAGAAGCTCTGAACTTCTCGTGTGCACAAGTTCATGAATATTTATTGCAATAAATCATTCCTCAGTTTTTAATAATTGCTGTGAGTATACCAGCCAGTACTTTGTCAGGTTCCTAATCTGTAGGCCTCAGTAGTGCAGTAGCAAGTATTTCGCACAACTTATTCTGTGTAAGTTGACACTGTAGATCCAGTTTCTCATTCATGTTCATATAGGCAAACTACACGCTTTGTGTGAAAGCCTATGCAAAGTAATAGTACAGGATTTGTTTGGATTTTTTATTGGCCAGTGGGCAAGATGTTGCTCTGTCTTACTTGGATGTATCGGCTGAATTTGAAGGTGTGTTTCAGGTATGAATCGGTGAGGAAACTTTTCAATTTGCTGTACTTTTGAAAATTGCACGTTTTTGTTTTGACTTGGGTTGATTTATTTTTTAGTAAATATGAAGGGTGCACTGGTGAGGAAGAGAATGAACAGATAATATTTTCTCTTTCTGAGTAGAATTGTCCGTAGTGTTTAGAGAGTTGTGGGAATCACTATTGAATAGTAATTGACAGACCGTCATGGTGAACAGTTAATTGCACTGCTGCTCTTGGTGAAGGATATTGGCAGTGAGTGGACAGCTAAGTTCTGGACTCAATCCGCACTCTAACTGAGCTTTTTAGCGACAGAGATTTGTGCAATGTTTCAAAGTAGTTGGGTCAAGAATGTTCAGTTTATTTGTGCACAGTTTCCGGTGCATTTTGTCTTAATATTTATGAAGATCTCCGAGACACAAAACTCTTCCAAAGTCATTGGAACACTTTCTGACTGAAAACCACGATTGCTCGAAACACGTTTTCCAAGAACAGTGATCTTGTCAAATCATGTCTATCCTTAAAACCGATCAGATAAACCTCTTCCTGAGTTGTGAAAGTCATTTTCACATGGCAGCTGTCCAAAGAGGACCAGGTTTTGTTGTGATATCCGTTCAGAGCAGCTCTTTACACCCTGGGTTGGTATCTATTCATCCTGCAACTTGATTACATCTTTGCCGGCTTTGTCTTTATGACTTGAACACTGCAGAACATTTGGAGAGTCTTACATTCTTAGCTTCACCTAACTTTTTTTTGGGAGTAATTTGCAATTTCTGGAGCTGATTCACCACCACGGTTTTTGAAAATGTCCCATTTCTTTTTCCACAAAGCCTGGGTAAAACATTATGCATCTTGGTATTCATCTGCAAAGTGTTGGACGTGGTTAGGGCTTACCTTCCTAATAGCTTGCATCTCGAAAGTGGTTTTAAATTGCAGGTTTTTCTTTTTAGGCAACGTTTACACATTTTCTTAATGGTTCTGATCCGCATGTCTGCTTTCACGAAATTATATTCCTGGATGTTACTGCCTAGGGTATTTCAAGTCAAATGTATTGAATTTGGCAACAAACTTCAAAGAGTGTTATTGAATGCCTTGATCTTGTCACTGGCAGTGTTGGAGACCAGTCGTACTTTTTAAACCCACTGTGCACTTTTAAACATTTCACAGGGCCCCGGGCACTGATGATGAGTAGAGCAGATACACCTTTGTTTGCTTCTGTAACGTTTCTACTGTGGAAAACTCCGCAACGTACCTACCCGTAGCAAAACATTGACAAATGAGTGTCTGAAGCTCTTAAGGCCTGAGTCATCAGAAAAACATGCTGCTAAACAAAACTCTGTTTTTCGAAGGGCTGAATGCTGTTTCATCCTAGAAAATTGTCTCACAAACTGTAAATGTAAGAGCTTTCTGTAGGGATTAACTCCAGATTGTTCTGTACCTTATCTCACCACATGCGATTTTATTTCTACGGCTAAAATCAATCAGTTAGTTGAGCATTTATACAAGACAAACTTACCGAAGCCCTTGTGATGTTTGCTTGGTTTGTGTGGTAGTTGAAGAAATCTAAAGATTAGGCAAATATGCCTACATGGATCTGACAGACATCCGTATGAAATGTAGATTGTTTTGTGATTGTTCTTTAACTTCAATTAAAAATTTAGAGAGATCAGCCGAATTACTGAAAGACGATTACCTCAGATTAGCTTTGTGTTATGGAAATGTAAAACCTGTTGATGTTTTTAAAACAGAGTCATTCCATTGAGATTTTAGTAAAAAATATTCAGTACTTGTTAGTACTTGACAGGGATATTTTGTTAAAAATCGTCTTTTTCTTTTAGTATTAGGAGAACTAAATGTAGTGCTGTTCTTCTAAATAGTTCCTTCTTAAACATACTTTTCTTTTTTAATTGTGGTGGTGATTTATTTCAAATTGTTTCAAAAGGAAAACCAATTATTTACAGTGTCACGGTTTAAAGGTTCGGGATATTTTGAACTTCACACTTGTTCTCTGTAAAGTGTTCATTGCAACGTCCCATACAACAGTGCTGGGACATTGATTTATCCATTTATGCATCGTTCTATTCATAACAAAAAAACTATTGACATATCGTAATTAGATGTTACAAGGTTGTAATTATACCATTTCTCTTGGACGATAGTATTAAATTATATGCTTCACAATATATTAAATATAAATGCTATTTTCCCTTGCAAGCACAGTGCTGACAGTGATGTTTGGAATAAACAAATTGAAATTGGCCAAAAAGAACAGTAAATTGTCAAAATACACATTTCTTTGCACAGATGGTTCCGGTGCCAATTTTGTTCTCATTCATCGAGCAAATTTGTCCTACTTTTTAACTTCTGTATTATTTGGAGAAGTGGTGCCATGCTGATGTCCCACTCGGCAATTTGTAAAACAAAATCCGAGTGTTTGACTTCTGGTTCCTTGGTAATTTTTTTTTTCTTATTTATAGATTGCATTTTGATTTAAGGAGTATTGACCTGTTTTTGGTCCCAATTCTACATGCGTTTGTTTGTCCCACATGCACGTCGCAAGAAAAACAGTGGGAGAACTTCTGCTCTAAGTTGTCAAATTTTTGTCATTTGTATTTTTGCCATACCAAACAATAATTACTGTAAAATGGTGCCCTTTTTCCCCCAAAATGTTAATTTATGTTACTAGTCTACCCATAGTGCGTGTGCTTGGCAATTGAAAAGTATTTTCTTCTAACTTTTTTCTTCCTCTTAAACTCATAACATTGGTGAAGCAGAGTAGATTTAAACTTTAAAAAAATGAGTGTTATAACAAGCCCCCTCCTTTTTTTAAAGGCTCTGAGTATTTTATCAAGATATTTTATTATCAGTGTAATGATATATGCACCAAGGAACAAACCTATATGTTGTAATGGATTAAAAAATTAAGAGAAAACCCAGAACACCGATTTTATTAGCATTCTTACGTTGCTGTGTTAAAATGTGTTTTAAGTCATACCAGATTCTTACATAGCCACTGTGCGTGCCCTGCATTTTTCTATTAGTAGAAACAAACTTAATGTCTTTTTATGTTACAAAATAAATACTTGTTAATCCTAAATGATTTTATTTACATTCACAGCATTTATTATAAAATTGTATAATAAAAATTATACAATTTGAGAAGAAAAGGCTGGACCCCAACAATCTTATGAAGTGCCCTCCATAAGTATTGGGACAGAGAAGTCCAAATTGCTGACAACATGTATTATTCTAAAACTTTAAAGCATATGTGTGCAGAAATACCCAGAATGAAAAGGTGACATTCTGTACTTTTGCCTTATATTCATCTTTTCACATTAAATTTCAATTTCCTGATTCTACCTGGCCTGGCCAGTACCTGGATGGGAGACCTTCTGGAGCAAACTAAGGTTGCTACCGTAAGATGTTAGTGGACCAGCAGGGGGCGCTCACCCTGCAGTCTGTGTGGGTCCTGATGCCCCAGTACAGTGACAGGGGCACTAGGCTGTAAAAATACACTGTCCTTAGGATGAGACGTAAACCCAAGGTCCTGACTCTCCATGGTCATTAAAAATCCCAGGGCGTTTCTTGAAAAGAGTAAAAGTATTAATGCCAGTGTCCTGGCCAAATGTTCCCCTGGCCTTTACCAACCATAGCCTCCTAATAATCGTCATCTATGAATTAGCTTCATCACTCTGTTCTTGGCTTCATTACTTTGGTGCACCTTGACTGCCGTTGCAATCCAGGAGGGTCTACACATTGGTGGTGGTAGTGGGATTCCACAATACCTGTAGAGTGCTTTGAGTGGAGTGTCCAGAAAAGCGCTGTATGAGTGTAAGGAATTATTATCATACAGCAGAAATAGCAGTTTTTACTTGACTGACTCAATACTTTTGGAGGGCAATATATGTGGTTTTACTAGTTTGGCAGAAGGTTTTTGTAAATGAAAATAAAAGCCTTTCTGTTTTGGGGGACTTCACAATGTTGTGCTTGCAGATTGTGTCGGCAGAAGGCGGCTTCGAGGTGGTGTGTAAGGAGAAGAAGTGGTCCAAAGTGGCAAACCGGATGGGTTACCCACCAGGAAAGGGAACGGGGTCACTCCTACGCTCCCACTTTGAGAGGATCCTGTACCCCTATGAACTTTTCCAGTCTGGAGCCACCCTGACGGTAAGGCCCGGAGCCTCACAGATTGTGCCAGTATTGGAAGAACTGTGGACGGTCATTTATTGAAGCCTTTGTCAGATCGCTTGCCCAGATGTGTTTTAATCACTCTCAGAAATCGTGTCTTAAATTATTTTCTCTATTCCGCATAACCAGCAAGTCACTAAAATCCGCCTGACTCTACCAGATTCTCCTGTGCTTTGAATCTGACCGACTGTGTCAGGAAAGAAGTCAGTCTATGTTCCAGACAGTGTCTGTTGCTTAGAGATGAGCGTTAGGGGTGAGGTCTCGGGCGTCTCATGTTTTGCCGAGTTTCTGATCTTGGTCCTTTGTCCTGCTATCTTCCTCTCTCAGGGAATTCAGAAGCTCTATGAGGAGGCAGAGGACAGAGAGGAGGGAGAGGAGGGCATAGAAGGGGCTGGTGAGGAAGAGGACGAGGAGGAGGTGTTGTGTCACCGGACCCAGGCCAAAGACCCCCTGGTTCCCACATTACAACCAGCCCCTGAGCGACGTTCCAGGCGTCTGAAGTCTGCTGAGGTAACTGAGTGCAAGCCGAGACTCATTTTACACAGACCTGCAGTCTTGTAAAATGTCTACTGTCTACAGCCCCAAGTCAGATCATCTTTAAACCTCTGTTGCTAAATCACTGAATCCAAGGACAGTTGCATTTGTATATACGACACACTGACACCTTTATTTTTTGTGATGGTTTTCTGTTCTGCTGCTTAGTTTTTTTCCTCTTCTCAAAATGCATGCTTAGTTACTGGCTCACATGAAGATTTGCGTTAAAATGCTTAAGTGACATCTCTCCACAAACAGTTTTTGAAATATGAGACATTTCTGTTTTTATCATGGGTTGCTGAAAATGAAAAAGAAAACATCCCTGCTCACTGTTCTCTCGGCGTGCTTACTTTTTAAAATTTTTCGGAAATGATACTCTGGTTTGCCTTTTAATTGCGTTTTTTCCATTTCCTTTAGCAAGATAACAAGGAGCTGAAGAACCTGCCTATCTTTGGTACAAACCCTAAAATGGTGGGACTGGAAATTGTTCCTGCAGGTATGTCATTTTATATCCTGATTCTCTCAAAGCACTAGGGTTCCTAAGTCCTTTAGCTAGAAAAGAGGCCGACTCCGAGCACAGGTTGAGTTCTGTGACCTATGAGAGTTAGCTCCCAGTTGGCAGAAGTCTTGAATGGTGAGTTATGTGCCACTCTTGACGCCAATCTGTGAAGCCCACAGCGAATCTGAAGCCTGCCCACTGTGAGCCAAGATTTTAAAGGAGCATATGGCAATTCCAAGTTAAGCAAGTATAAAATGAAAAACTCTGAAAACATAATAGATTGGTTTCACAGATGAAAGAAACTCTAAAATGCCTGTTAAATATCTGATTGCATTGAGTAAAGTTTTTTTTATTTTTAATTATGCCGCTTTTAGCCATAATTAAATAATTTTATTACCCTGTATCTAAATTGTAGTAATTCAGTAGTTACAATGTAATGTTTCGATGTCGTGTTTATTAAACCGTACTTATTTGTCAATGACAACATTTCTTTGCGGAACACTCTTTCATTCTTAGCAAGCCTTGGTTAAGGCCGGTTTCTTAACCAATCTTGAAGAAATTAAGATATCGATTTTTCATGACCTCACTGCTCCACACAATTGCATTTAAAAACAGCAGGTACTTGAAGAAGCTGGAGAAAAGGGCTCTTATTTGAAGTTCACTAACAATTAGCTGACGAGGTGTAGTGCTGTTTTTTTATATGAAAGCTGCTGCCAAACCTTGATGGATCAAACTTGTATGCAGTTGGTAACAGCTTCACTGATGCATAACCTGGATAGAGTTCTGTCTACTAGGTAGAGAAAAATGTAAAGCTTCAAAATGTGTTATACCACAAGGTTTCTGAATTCTGTTTTGATGAGCAGTCACTGTCCTGCATTGTGTCACAGAATATTTCTCTTTTCTCGCACTTGCAGATGAAGGTTTTGCCAAGAAACAGCGTCACCTCAAGTCTCAGGGTTTTGCCATTAAGATGCGGCAGCGCAAGGAGACTCTGGAAGTTAACTTTGTGAGTGAACTTCAGGCTGTATGAAGCACTAATAAGCTGAAACAGGATAAAGCAATTCTACCGGCGTTATTCGCCGTGTTCTTCTTTTGTCTCTGAATGTAGTAAAGAATTTCAACGCATTAGAGTGGCCAAGCGGTCTAAGCACTACGATTAGGTCACAGTCACCCCTGGAGATGTGGGTTTGAATCCCACCTCTATTGGTGACTTTATCAGCTGTATCGCCCTGCATCTCACAACTGGCAGCCCCACTGGAGCTCAGCAGGTGTGAGAGCCTGGTCAGTATCTGGATGGGAGACCTCCTGGGAAAAACTAAGGTTGATGCTGGGAGAGGTTTTAGTGAGGCCAGTAGGTGGCACACACCCTGTGGTCTGTGTGGGTCCTAACATCCCAGTGTAGTGACGGGGACGCTGTACTGTAAAAAGGCAGATGAGACGTAAAACTGAGGTTCTGACTTTCTGTGGTCATTAAAAATCTCAGGGCGTTTCTCGAAAAGGGTAGGGATGTCATCCTGGTGTCCATGGCCAAATTTCCCATCATGGCCTCCTAATAATCCCCATCTCTGAACTGGCTTCATCACTCTGCTCTCCTCCCCATTAATAGCTGGTGTGTGGGGAGAGGACTGGAGCATCATCCAGGTGGGGCTGCACACTGGTGGTGGTAGTGGGATTCCCCATTACTTGTAAAGCGCTTTGGAGTTTCTAGAAAAGTGCTATGTAAGTGCAAGGAATTATTATTTAAAGTAAGGACTGCGGTTACTTCCGTAAAACTAGATACATACGTGGAGTGACATTTTGTTTCTTCAGAATGAGGATTGATGACAGCTATGATCTATCACAGATGGCCTTTATTAAGAGCTGCGTGTGATTCACAAGGCGGCGAACAGGCGACCTTTATTTTTGAAGCCCGGGGGCGGGGGGGGGGGGGAGAAAGAAGAGCGGGGGGAGCCGATGGAGGCGGCGGAGACCGTAGCTCAGGAGAAACAAACACCCTTAACTCAGGCTTCACGACTTCACCTTCCTGACTCACTGCACCTTTTGGGGGGCGGGGGGGGGGGGGGGGTGTGTGCTTGCCTCCACGCGGACGGGGCTTTGACCCACACCCCGCTCTCTCTCTCCCCAAGATCGACCTGTACGTGTGTCTGGTGTGCGGCCGGGGCGACGAGGAGGACCGGCTGCTCCTGTGCGACGGCTGCGACGACAGCTACCACACCTTCTGCCTCATCCCGCCCCTGCAGGACGTGCCCAAGGGGGACTGGCGCTGCCCCAAGTGCGTGGCGGAGGTAAGGGCATTCCCGGGAGGAGCCCGGGCGGCTGTGGTTCACAGGGTTCGTGCGTCCATCAGCCAGAGGTAGACTGTTTTGCATTCACATCCCTACCTTGCTGTACCGTTGCAGCTCCTGGTTGTGTCATTTGGTACAATATTCGCCCATCCATTCATCTTGTCACATCAAAGCAGTAATTAGGAGTTTTAGACGGTTCTGCTTCCTAGTGCTGTGAAACGGCTAGAGCTAAGCGATAGTCATGTTACCATAATATTTCAGTTTTCTTTCACTCATATACATATATAAGAACAGTAGGAGAACACTGTTATTGGCATTTTATGTATACTTGGTCTTCGAGGTACAGATGGCCGCGATACGAATATTCTGTACATATGAACAGCATAAGAACTGGTTCCCTTAAGAAATATTAAGAAATGGCCAGCGAACAGGGAATGTGTTTGGAATATGGGAACGATGAACTGAGGTCACTCCCCAATATCGCTGCTGGGTTCAGCATTCATTTGCCCCCTGGTTTTGTTTTGCTTCTGACTTTGACATCCCAGTATTTGCTGTGGTATTCCGTGGCCAGTTTGAACCTCAATAGCTCTGATAAAAGGTGGGAGAAAGGGGAAAGGGACAGGGCCGTATTGAATCCTAAAAACACTTAGAACAGTAACCTTTGAAGCAAATGGGGTTCTCGCGTTTCTGCCAGTATTTTTCGGCTTGAGAATGACCTCGAGTTGTGAACAAAGCTTGGGAGCATAACCGATTCCCAAGTCACGGACCGAGCGTATGTGTATAAACACACACAAAAGTAGATTGCTGTAAATTGGGCAGGCGTGCTTAATTGAGTTGAAGCAGTTGAGACAGACATGCATTGCTTAATAGTCTTCTGTTGCTCAGTACGCAGTGCTTTTTCCCTTGGTTGAGCAATGCTATGGCAATGGTACGGCATTCAATTCCAAGCTCTCCGGTGTGGTCAGTCGAGGCCACTTTCCTCATTGATGACCCCCCTTTCCTTCCATTGTTTATAGTCACATATAATAGATGCTTACAGTTATACACAAATGGCTACGTGCCATCAAGTCAAGAAGTATAGTTGGGACGACACTAGGATATTCATTCATCTGTTTTCTAATCCGCCTTTGCAGTACACAGTCATGGGGGGAGTTAAACCCTGGAGGTAGGACACAGGGCCTAGGTACACAGCCTAACGCCAAGGCCAGTTTTCCCAGATGCCAATAAACCAGCCTGCCTGTCTTTGGACAGTGGGAGGAAACTGGAGCAGCTGGAGGAAACTCACGCGAGCACACAGGGAGAAAACATCTAAACTCCACGCTCAACAGGAATTGAACCCAAGCCCCCCCCCAAGGTAGCAGTGAGAGCTGCTGCACACCCCTCCCTCCTCAGTGTTAGCCCGTGTCAATGTTTATTCAGTACAAAACAACGCTGTGCAATGAAGGCCATTTGCTCCAATTTGAACGGTCTTTCCTGGTTTCTGAAAGGGGACCTCCAGCTGATTATATAAAGACAGTGGATCTTGAAGCTGACTTAATTTGCTCTGTGTTTCCCCCGCCAGGAGTGCAGCAAACCACGGGAGGCATTTGGCTTCGAGCAGGCGGTGAGGGAGTACTCCCTGCAGAGCTTCGGCGAAATGGCAGATCATTTCAAGTCTGACTATTTTAACATGCCTGTGCACGTACGTACCGTTTGGTGCTTTTTTTAAAGTAAGGGTATGTTTTCCTGTTCTTTCTGTAACTGTGTCAGGATAACCCTTTAGCCACACGTTCGTTCGCACTCCAAAATGCTAAATGTTTTGCGGGGAGATCTTCTTTGGGCCATTTCTTTTCACGTCTTTGGTGGTTGCTTGCGTCTCGGGTCTCGTTTTGTGTGCTTATGGTCTGCAGACTCCAGCTGTGTTGCGGTGACTCAAACGTTTGGGTTTTCTTTCCCCGCTGGGTAATTGACAAGACAGTGCTTTTTGCACAAGACAGGGCAAAGAGATCTTCTAGATGTTCTTTTTGGAAATCGCAAGTAATAATAATAAATACATGCAAATTAACAAAAAAATGAGATTATATGATACACGATGCCGAAAAAATTGGGACAGATCTGGCGAGCCTCTTATTGCTTGCTGCTCCTTAGGAGAACGGTCAGTTATACGAGTTAATAGCTATCATTTGGCGATTCTGTTCTCTCTTTCAAACATATTGTACTTTGGAACATAAAGGCTTTGGGAAGCATGTGTCCTGGACCGTGCACAAGTTCAAGATTGGGCTGTCTCACACTGTGCAGGAGGTTGAGCATCCTCTTATTCTCCACAACCACCCTCTGACTCTTGCTCTCTCGCTGCCCCGTTGGGCACGTAGATGGTGCCCACCGAGCTGGTGGAGAAGGAGTTCTGGCGGCTGGTGAGCAGCATCGAGGAGGACGTCATCGTGGAGTACGGCGCCGACATCAGCTCCAAGGACGTGGGCAGCGGGTTCCCGGTGCGCGACGGGAAGAGGAAGCTGCTGCCGGACGAGGAGGTGAGCGGTTCTGACAACATTGCTTCCCGTCACCTCTTTCACTTCTCTTATGCAGGGTGTTCCTGAGATCCTTTATTGGCGATTCGTGCTTACGATAAACTTTACTTTTCTGAAACTCGGCCGTGATAAGGCTGAGCCAAACTCGAATTACACTTACAGATTACAGATTTGCATTGCAGTTTGACCGTGATTTGCGAAAAAGAAAGCACACCCTTTTAAGATTCTGTGGTTTTACATATTAAGACATCTGATCTTCACCTAGTCCTCACTAAGTCGTAACAGTAGATAAATCTGACTTGGTGACAACACACACAGGTTTTGTTTTGTCTTTAAACTCAGTGCACATCTGCACTGTGCGATTTTTGCGTGGTCTACCACATTTTGTCTTTCTTTCACTGCTTCATATTTATCGTTCTGGTTGTATTATTTCTGATGTCGTAATGTTCTGTCTACGTTGTGTGGTGTTGTCCATTGTATAAGAATAATAATAACGTACAGGTGCATATGGCAATAAACTCCTCTACTACTGTTTATTAAACAAAATCAGCCAATGTTCAAACCTTGTGTGGAAAAGTAAGCACTTGATTTAGTAACATGTGGAACTCCCTGTAACAGCACTATCTTGAAGTAAATGTTTCCTGGAAGAGCGCTTGATAAGTGAGACCACAGAATCATAAAGGGGTGTACTTTCTTTTTCACATCACTTTATTTGTCAGGTGCTGAACGTTGCATCACCTGCTGATTAAATTGTCCCCCCTGGAGATGAATAATGCATTTTGAATTACTAAGTCAGATAAAATTGTTACTTTTTTTATCAACGTTTTACACAGACAGAGCAGACTCATGGAGCCCAAAGAACAAAACATGGGTTTGCAAACACAAAGCAAAGAACCGTGCATTAAATTAAACAACACAAACTAAATGAGGTCAAAAACCAAATTGTCACCTCTTGGCACACAGCATTGAGAAAATGTTTTGTGGACCCCAGAAGTGAAAAGGCAGATTTAATCATTTTACCATGATAGCCTCCTTGAATCAAAAACAGTCTTTATGTAAATATCCGATAGGATTCATAGTAACCAGTTCCATTTTTCTGGGAACAAAATGATGCGTGAATTCAACACACATGGAGTAATCAAGGCACAGCGCATGTAAAAAAAACGTACTTTACCTGGAGGGAAGGAAACAGCTTTTCTTAGGGAAGCTACAAGGATAACAGGAAGGAAGGTGTCTTTCCATGGACGTTCTTCCCCGGATTATGAGCACTGTTTGTGACGCTCTCTACCCTTGTCGTCAGGAGTATGCGAACTCAGGCTGGAACCTCAATAACATGCCCGTTCTGGAGCAGTCGGTGCTGACCCACATCAACGTGGATATCTCGGGCATGAAGGTGCCCTGGCTCTACGTAGGCATGTGCTTCTCCTCCTTCTGCTGGCACATTGAGGACCACTGGAGCTACTCCATCAACTTCTTGCACTGGTAGGTCTACAGCATATTTAATCAGCAGAACTGTTTTACCGAAATACTCCAGAAGATGCCTCATTGAGGACAATGTACTGAAAGCCGTTATTAGATGGTGACGTTGTGGATTCTGATACCTAGTGAATGAATGTCTTACCTATAGATATGGTACTTAATTAAGAATGGTTGAACATTTAAGTATTCAAAAGGTTTCAACCACTATAAGAAAATGTCAGCTTTCTTTAAAAAAAAACCTTTGTTCTTAATTCTTTTTTTTCTTTCGTTGATCCGTGGTATCTTTTGACGTTATTTCTGTTTGTGCAGTGTTTTTTTTAACACTAAGGGCCCGAAATTTAGTTGTATAAATCTTGAACTCAAAGAACTCAAAATCTTTAATAATTTTAGACTTCAGCATTAACTTTAGACATCAGCTTCTGTACTGCAGAGCGGGTTAGTCTTTTAAATGTCCATAAAGCCAAGTATCCTGGGATAGCAGCAACGTTCCTAATCCCCCACTGATTAAATACTGGTTACCTCAGAAATGGAAATATTTTTCCAGAAATGGAACCGTGGAATAATCTTCTGGGTTGGGCCTGGGTATCTATTTATCATTTAAGGGTTGCTGTGCAAGACAAATTGAGATTTCAAGTATATAATTTAGTAATCTGAAGAAGCAGAAGCACATTGAATCACAGATAAGTGGCTGAACCGTGTTTGACCCCATTTTTTCTATGCTCTGCCCAGCTTTGCTGGACAGTGCACACTTTTGTTCTTTGCAAATGTGGCGAGTCATGCAGGCAACTAAGACTGCGTTGTCCATCCTGAGCTGTTTATTTTTGGGGGGGTTCGGCGAACATGAAAAGCACCCATCCTCCTTTTTTTCCCTCCCCCCACCCCGTCTCTGCTCTTCTCTCAGGGGAGAGCCCAAGACGTGGTACGGCGTGCCGGCCCACGCTGCCGAGCAGCTGGAGGCGGTCATGAAGAAGCTGGCTCCCGAGCTCTTCGACTCCCAACCCGACCTGCTCCACCAGCTGGTCACCATCATGAACCCCAACATCCTGATGGAGCACGGGGTGCCCGTAAGTCACTGCGAACGCCGCGGGGGGGGGTTGAGAGAGCAGTGGGTGGGCGGTGCAGGGAACCAGGGTTCTGTTCTGGATTCCTTGTGCTCAACCATCTGACTCTTGTTCACAGCCAAATTGGTCAGTCGCTATTAATCGGTTCTACACCTTTAATACAACTATAACAATTTTCTCCTATTTACAGGGTAGCTCTCCCAGCAATGAAATGTTTTCATGGGAGTTACGCACCACATGTTAACATGCGAAGGCTTCGATTTGTTTTCACTTGATGTTGTATGTTAACGTTTAGCTTCTGGGTAGCCACCAGCAGATAAACAGTGCATATATAGAGGCCTCCAATCCTGCTTCCCACTTCTCTGTTAGGAATTCACCCAAGACATCCGGTAGTAGCATGCATCATCAAGGCTAACCTTTGGCTTACATGTTCTGCGTGTACATCTTTCTTCAGAATCCTTTAGCTTAGGTTTGGACAGGCGAGAGTGAGATTAAGCAAACCGTGTGCATGTGTTGTGTGTTTCTGTTTTACCAGTTCCAAGGCTGCCTCTATTTTCAGTGTAGTTTGCCAGATTATTCTTTTCCAAGCATTTCACCTGTCGCTGTCCTGTTGGGGGCAGGTGTTCAGGACGAACCAGTGTGCAGGAGAGTTTGTGGTGACCTTCCCGAGGGCCTATCACAGCGGATTTAACCAGGGCTATAACTTTGCTGAAGCCGTCAACTTCTGCACTGCAGACTGGGTACGTCTTTCAAATTTCCATGCCGCCAAGCATCATGGGATAGCAGTGACATCCCTTGTCTTCTCGCACTGCTAAAGAGACGTGAAATATCTGAATAAATTAGTCTAAATCTTTTGTTTCCGTAAACAGTACCATGCAATATTTTCAATAAAATTGACTGTGGACCTGAGTATTGGATAACTGAATATTGAATATTAAATAATGGCATATAAGACATAACTGGCTTTCATTGTTAGAAAAGGGTTGCACATAGCTGAAGTGCTCTTCTCATTAAAGAGATTGTCTTTGCAAAGATAATTATTTTGAAAATCCGATCTGCACTGCTTCATAACTTGGTAAATTTTCACACTAACTTCCTGCCACAAAGTAGACCATAAAGCACAGTTTGAGATAGCTGATAACGACAACTGAAATTATTTGATTGTGTGCGACATTTACACCTGCAGACATGTCCTGTTTTGTATCAGTTATATTATCCCAGGTACAAAAGTCTGGATGCTTATATTATTACACTCTCTCAAGCAGTATGATTGCATTATCTGCCTAATCAGCTGTTATCTGTAACTTCCAACTGTTTGTTTCAGTAAATTAATATGCTGATATTATGCTTAATGCGATCATTGGAATTTTACATTCAGGCACTGATCTCTTCTTCCATTCAGTCGCAGTGATAATGAAATTCTGAGGCTTTTTGGCTTTCGTTTAGCCCTTTTTTAACTGGATTGCTAAAAAAATAACGATCTTTGAAATGGGATCTCTGGGTTCCATTAATAAGGAGGAAGTTGGGATGTTTGTGGCGCTAACCCATCGCCGTCTCTCCCGTCAGCTGCCAATGGGGAGACAATGTGTGGCTCACTACCGCCGCCTCCAGCGGTACTGTGTCTTTTCCCATGAGGAGCTGCTCTGCAAGATGGCGGCCGACCCGGAGAGTCTGGATGTGGAGCTGGCGGCCGCTGTGTTCAGGGAGATGGGGGAGACGATTGAAGAGGAGACCCGACTCAGGCAGGCCGTCCAGCAGATGGTGTGTGCCGCCCAATCCCTTTTCCCCGCGGTGCAAGAAAACACAGCGACCGGCGGTTCTGCTTTGCTTTCAAACAAATTTAATGTTTGCCAATGAACCAAATATCTCGTCTTGGCTGTTAAGATAATCAGCTGTCGGCAAATGTAGCCCATGTCTTAAGCCACTTCTTTCCTATTGATCCGATGAGGTAAGGTTAAGACGACAACGCAGAAAAAGTTTTGAATTAAAAAAAGTAAATCTGAATTACTGCTACTATCTTCTAAATCTGCCTAGTTTTAATATTTAACTGTATAGGTCTAGTTTTTGTTTTTGTAAAGGTCTTATCAGCATGGAGTAAACCGTTACTTGTTCTTTGTGCAGTGAATTCACTCATAAACTGCTTCTGACGTCTAATTGTTCTGTAATTGTCCGTCTTTTTTGGGGGGCTGGCAGGGCGTCCTGGCCTCGGAACAGGAGGTGTTTGAGCTTGTCCCGGACGACGAGCGCCAGTGCGCAAAATGCAAGACCACCTGCTTCCTGTCGGCTCTCACCTGTTCTTGCAACCCGGAGCGCCTGGTGTGTCTGCACCATGCCGCCGACCTCTGCCACTGCCCGCTGAGCAACAAGTGCCTCAGGTGAGGCTGGCTCGAACTGCGCTGTCTTCGTGTAGCAGAATAGCAAACTATTCAAACGCAGGGCCAGCGCAGTTGAAGAAGAATTACCTTTAGGATTGTTCGTTGAGCATGGCTAAAGATGGGGGGAAATGGCAAGGCACGGTCTTGAATAACTTTGAATAACAGTTCATGCCAAGGGGTGTTTGCAGAGAGAGGGAATTTCAAGGGCATCTCTGGGGATTGTGGGGTAATACAGTCACCTGAAATAGTTTTACTTACTGTTAATAATCAAATATTGAATGCCTGAAATGAAACATTTACTAGGGAAAGCAGGAATTGAAGCATGTTAACAGAACACGTAGAATTTGGTCAAAAAAAGTAATGATATTGTTACGGGCTGTCAGACACAGTGACCCAAAAAATTGTTTCCCATGCAGAATATTAATCTTGAGGGCCAGTGCTCTAGAAGTGAAGTTGATCCACTGTTCCTCCATTGATCAAACGTATCCACCTTTCCACAAGTGAAGTCTCAACCGTGCCCGCTGTGTCTCTGTCCTGTAGGTACAGGTACGCCCTAGAGGAGTTTCCCTCTATGTTGTACGGAGTGAAGTCTCGGGCGCAGTCTTACGACACCTGGGCTAAGAGGGTGACTGAGGCGCTGGATGCGGATCATAAAAACAAGAAAGGTGAGAGGTGCTGCTGCATCTGCTGCAATGATCTCGGTGTTTTCGGTATACAAAACCATCAGGCCGTCTGGGAATGTAGGAAAAGGGGCAACTTTACCTTCTAGAAGAGGTTAGAGTGGGTATCATTTTAAAATGGAGAAGTGTCAGCAGTCACCTGGGCCTACATCATCATCTCTGTTCTTTTTGCTGTCCCCTCCGCCCTCCGAAGACCTGATTGAGCTGAAGGTGCTGTTGGAGGACGCCGAGGACAGGAAGTACCCAGAGAACAACCTGTTCCGCCGGCTTCGGGAAATGGTGAAGGAGGCAGAGACCTGCTCCTCGGTCGCCCAGCTGCTGCTCAGCCACAAGCAGAGGCACAGGTCAGGAAGACAGGATTTTCTGAGCATCTGCCGGTCAGGCTTGCACTGCTATCCCACAGCTAGGTGGTTACTGAAGGAAAATCTCTTCAGTGACGGCTGTAGCCTCACATACAGAGGGGGGTCTTTGACACTGGAACACATGCAGCACTGTTCAAATTAAGGCACGTGCACCGAATCCTGTTCCAATGTTAAAGCGGACAGCTGATGCTGAGCTTAAAAAATGCCTGTGTTTTTGGGGGGGGTGGGATGGGGGACGGAAGGGTAGGGATGGTATTTCGATAAAACAAGCACAAGACAATTACATCAAGGGATGTTCTTTTCCTTAGCACATCGGCTCGTATTTAACAGAACTGATACGTAAGCAAAGTTTACCAAGTGTCACTAGAGCTCAGCCACCCTGCCTGTAAGCAGTTAGGATCATAACGCAGGAGGGATTTCTGAGCTTATGGAATTGAAAATGCTATCCTGTGAGCTCTGGAGTCATATGGAGAAGATATGGTTTTTATCAAGTACATTCTTGGCCTTTGCTATATGGGGAAAAAATTGGATTTCAATAAACCAGTATACGATAAGCCATTTTTAAACGGCAGGTTAAGGTAAACTGTATTTCCTTTGAGTCTGTGAAATGTATCTGCACGTTTCCCCCTTGACATTTTGTCCGGGAGAAAAAAAAAATTCAAATAAAAAGCTCAGTTTTCTCAGTAGAGCAAGCTTTGCGTCTTGCGTGACCCTCGTGAGTGAGCGTGCGTGTCGCTGTGCCGTGTCGTTGACGCAGGCAGCGGCCGGAGAGCAGCCGGGGGAGGAGCAAGCTGACCGTGGAGGAGCTGAAGGCCTTCGTCACCCAGCTCTACTGCCTGCCCTGTGTGATCAGCCAGGCCCGCCTGGTCAGGGTGAGTCTCGCTGCCCAGCTTTTCAACATGCTACCCCAGAGCATGAGCAGTAACTCTCCTCGCCCTTTTGGCACATTCTGACTTGGTGACTCCGAGCCTTTGTCGACCACAGTCCACTTCTTGCTAACTTTTACCATTTATATAATAATAATAATAATAATAAACTTTATTTTGTATAGCACCTTTAAATGGCTTCTCAAAGCGCTTTACAGAATGAGAACAACAATAAATAAAAAGAATACACAAGATAAAACACAATTCCAATATACAGAGGAGACCGTGGATGGTGGTACTAAGAAAAGCAGAGGGGTGAAGAATGGAACCAGTTCAGTAAAGGCTTTTCTGAAGAAGAGGGTTTTGAGTCTGGATTTGAAGGAGTTTAGAGAAGGTGACTCTCTGATATCCTTGGGGAGAGAGTTCCAGAACTTGGGGGCATAACAGGAGAAGGTCCTGTCACCCATACAATGTAGACGGGCTTGGGGGACAGTGAGGAGAGCAGAATTAGAAGAGCGAAGGTTACGAGGTGGGGAGTAGGGTGATAAAAGTTCAGACATTTGTGGCACACGCGCTAGATTTGTATGACTCTGTACTGTTTCCTTTTTTTTCTCACCAAGTCTTCGCAAGCATGTGCTTTGCTCAAAATATTTTAATGTACTTCAACATTTGCAGCTTTGTATAGAATGTCGGGGTAGTCTGTAGCAGGTCTTATCGTTACAAATTGATAAGACGTATTTCATGTAGGTAGCTGCGTCAGCAAGTGTAGGATGGAAGGGAAAAAGTCAAGGTTTATTCCATGCTGAAAAGAAACACAACTTTTCGGATGTGGAGCCTTCTTCGGGTGTCCTTTCAAGATTAGGATTAGTGGAGGTTGTGGGTGTGTTGATGTTTTTTTTTTCTGGAAAAGATTGTTTTTTATGCTTTTCTGCAGTGAGAAACTGGTAAAGTTTGGAGTTGAGGTATCTGATAAGGTTAGTTATAAATGGAAGATGAGGAGGAGCTGTTAGCCATAAAAAATCCTTTCCTTCTTTGATGTTAATGTAATCAGAAAGAGTAATTTGTTATTTGTGTGAGAAAATGGCAGAAAGCATTCGTTTACTGATAAATTGTTGAAGAAGTCTCTGAGTGTTACTCTGGGTGGCGTCCGAGTCAAAGAACACCAGACACCTCTAGAAATGCTCCAAAGCTGAAAAATTGTTTCTTTTTTTCTCCCATTAATAGAAGTAATCTGAAACCTATTGGATCAGTGACTGGTGCTGATTTGAGATGAAGGAAAAGCTAACCAGAAGAACGCTTTAGCAGAAAATGGGTCGTCCTGAACTATACAGTTTTTAGGCCAGCTTTGGTCACCCCTGTCGGGCAGATGGATATGATTTGAATTGAATACCAGGGCAGCATTGTGGTGCAGTGGTTGCCATGGCAGCCTTACTACACTGTGGTCCTGGGTTCAATTCTGGAGTTTGTATGTTCTCCCCGTGTTTGCATGGGTTTCCTCCCACAAATCAAAAGCATGCTGGCAGGTTAATTGGCTTCTGGGAAAATTGACCCTGGTGTGAGTGTGGTTGTGTCTCAGTGCCCTGAGATGGCCTGATGTCCTGTACAGGGTTTATCATACCTGTGACCCATTGCTTTCTGGGATAGGCTCCAGCTTTCCCATGACCCTGAATTGGATGAAGCAGTTAGAAAACAGATGGACGGAGAGGAATACCAATCTGTAAAAAATTCTGTGCACAATCTTTGAAGTAGGGTGCTGTTAATTATAAATTGTATGTATTTGGTGCATCCTTTTGTGTTCAAAAATCTAATATTAGTTTACTCAGGATTTGATGTTGTCCTGCATCCTGTCTAGGAGCTGCTGGAGAACGTGGAGGACTTCCACGAGCGAGCGCAGGAGGCCTTGGCGGACGAGACGCCCGACTCCTCCAAGCTGCAGGCCCTGCTGGAGCTGGGCGGGGGGCTGGACGTGGAGCTGCCCGAGCTGCCCCGGCTGAAGCAGGAGCTGCAGCAGGCCCGCTGGCTGGACGAGGTGCGCCTGACGCTGAGCGAGCCCCACCGCGTCACCTTGGAGCTGATGAAGAGGCTCATCGACTCGGGCGTGGGCCTGGCGCCCCACCACGCCGTGGAGAAAGCCATGGCCGAGCTGCAGGAGATCTTGACCGTGTCGGAGCGCTGGGAGGACAAGGCCCGCACCTGTCTGCAGGCCAGGTAACGCCCGCATTCTGCTCGCATTCAGCTCCTGGCTGGGCCCATGGGGACGGCCTGTCTGTTCTCCAGTAGAGCACACTCACTTCGGTAATGAAAAGCTGGAAAGCTGTGCGGAGGTAACCTGTGGGTTGCTGTGCTTGTTGGTAAACCTGCCTGCATGTAGCAGCAGTAGTAGGACACTCCAATCAAAGTTCTTTACAGTTAATGGCGAATCCCACTATCACCACCAATGTGCACCCCCCACCTGGATGATGTGATGGCAGCCATAGTGCGCCAGTACACTCACCACCCATCAGCTTTCAGTGGGGAGGAGAACAGAGTGATGTAGCCAGTTATACATGGTGTTTATTAGGAGGCCATGATTGCTAAAGGCTAATGGGAAATTTGGCTAGGACGCCGGGGTAACACTCCTAATCCTTGCGAGAAACGCGTTGGGATTTTTTTTTATGACCACAGAGGATCAGGACCTTAGTTTTTCGTCTCATCCGAAGGATGGTGCCTTTTTTACAGTATAGTGTCCCCATCGCTATACTGGGGCATTAGCATCCAGACAGACCGCAGGGTGAGCGCCCCCTACTGGCCCCACTAACACCACTTCCAGCAGCATCCTTAGTTTTTCCCAGGAGGTCTCTGATCCAGGTTCTGATCAAGCTCACATCTGCTTGACATCAGTGGGTTGTCATTTGTGAATTGTAGGGTGATATGGCTGCTGGCAAGTAGCAGTACTCTTCTAGCCAGAAAAGCCTGTCTTCTGCTACAGTTCTGAACCAGCTGCGCCCATGTGCTTCTTGTAGAATGGCGATGGCCTACCTGAGGCTCTGTGCCCTTCTGGCGTTTACCTTGACGACCATTTTTTCTACCTATGTTCTCATTCATCCAATTCAGGGTCATGGGCTCTTGCACAGTATTTCATTACTGAAGTTAGTGTCTCAGCTCGAACTGCTGTTGCACGTGAATCGTGAGGCTTGTCACAAATCATACAGTTGCTGATGAGATTTTTTGAGTATATTGCGTGCTGTTAAAAAGTGTTTGCCCTCTTTCCAGTATTCTGAATTTTTCGCACATTTTCACCTCTGAATGTTATTAGAGTTTCCTGTGGGCCCTAGTGAGGTATAAAGGGAGTCTGAGTGAACATAAAGCAGTCATGTGTGGTGCTTGTTTCATTTATTATATCCAACCTCCAGTGCTCTCAGCTTTGAAATCTGCCTCTTAACCTGAACGCTTTTCCTGACACTTTCTGCAGTTCTCCAGTCTGCCTCCAGGTGGTACTCTCACTGCAAACACTGGTGGTTTGATTAAATGTGGTTTGGATTCTAGACCCACCACTAACAGCTTAATATAGTCATGCCATGGGTGACCTCTGTGTAAGCTAATTATGCCTGTACTGTAATCCTTCTTTATACACCAATATAAGGGACTTGGTCAAAAGTAGCAATAAAAAAGGTGGCATCATAAAGTGGGTAATTAAAAGAGTTCAACTAGTAAAAAGAAGAAAAGTGAGTTGTGAAAAATTCAACAAAATATGTACATTTTATTCCATGTTTCTTTGACGTTTTTCTTGAATTCCTCAATATTGTTCCTCTCCTAAATCAGTTCTTACCATGTGAGTATTCTAGCACTGTCCTTTTCCTTGGTAATTTTCAAATTCCTAAGAATTGAGTTTAATGGTATAAAGAGGAAGACTGCCAGGATTGTGTGAATATGCATACTGATATGGCTGAAATCAAAGGACACATTGTTACTGAATAATAATTTGATTTTACAAAGCCCAGTTGGTGTTCGGAATATCTGAAATGCAGGACATCGCCAAGCAAGAGTGATATGGGGATATTTTTAATATCATTCTGTTTAGACAGAAACGCATAGCTTTTAGTTCCTTTGTTTTTTTTTCCCTATAGACCGCGCCACAGTCTGTCCACGCTGGAGAGCATAGTGATGGAAGCAAAAAACATTCCAGCCTACCTCCCCAATGTCCTGGCTCTGAGAGAGGCCCTGCAGAAAGCCAAGGAGTGGAGTGCCAAGGTGGAAGCCATCCAGGTGAGAGTAGCAGCTGTCTGCCCTCCACACTGTACTGAAAAACGCTGCTCCCCAAAATCGTTGTTGCTTTTCTGTTATCACGCTTATTCAGGAAATTGGTGGTTCAGTGCGGTTGCCCCGAGTCCAGATGTAATGGCTTGGGAACTGTTTGGTGTACTGGAATTTTTAAGTGATTTACGGAGAGAATCATTTTGCTTTGACCTCTTTCCGTTTGCCTTTTTGGCATATATGTGTGTGTTTCCCCATGAGACTTGACTTTCCTGGGGCTCGTGTGACTTCAGGTCCCTTGTGCTGCATGTTCTAGGAATAGTAACTTCGTGTAAGTCAGCAGACCTAGCCAGCAGCTGTATCGCCCTGCAGCTCCCAACTGGCAGCCCACTGAAACTCATAAGAAGACTGAACCTTTTCAGTCTTGAACGTGGTAGACTTCAAGGGGATCTGATACAAGTATTCAGAATCCTAAAATGCATTGTTCAACCCTGCAAATTTCTTCAGAGCTTCTTGCAAACGTCTTCAGCATGAATAGTGAAACACAGACCAGAGGACATAAGTGTGAACTATGTGAAGGTGTATTTAAAACCACTTAACAACAATAATAATTAAGGATTCCTTACATTTATATAGCGCTTTCCTGGACACTCCACTCAAAGCGCTTTACAGGTAATGGGGACGCCCCTCCACCACCACCGGTGTGTAGCCCCCACCTGGATGATGTGACGGCAGCCATAGTGCACCAGAACCCTCCCCACACATCAGCTGTCAGTGGGGAGGAGAACAGAGT